CTTGCATATGGGAGTGGATTCAGCACAGACTGGAATAAAGGACAATGAGCAGCTCTTCCCTCTGGGAGCAGGAAACTGGAAACTCCCATTTGTCCTCTGGAAAGGACTCATGGGGAGGGGGAAAGGAGGAACCAGCCAGGTGACAAGATAGTCAGGTTACCACCACAACTCCTCCCTCAACCCCTCCTTTCTGTAATGTATGCATGATGTTTCTGGGGGTGGGCTTGACCTGGAGGAGGGGAATTTCAAAAGTCTTTATAAGGCCTTGCACACCATCTTTCTGGGTCCTTCCTCTCTCCTGCAAGTGAGGGGAGCACCCTGTTGCAACAGTTCAATAAGGGCCAAGCCTACAGGCTGCTGATTTGCTCCAAGTTATCCTGGTTGGTGTCTTTGTTTTTGTCCAAGGGAGACCACGGATTTTTCCAGTAACACTGGGCTTCCAGAACCATCTGACCCCATTTCCCACCCCAGAGCAGGGCTGGACCAATCAGAAGCCTCTGCACTGGGCAGCTGGCCAATCCCCTTTCAGATTCCCCTGGGCCGCCTCCTCTCCTTCGCCCGGTTTCCTGAGGGAGTTTTCCTCCTGAGTTTCCCTCATGGCTGCTCCCCCTCCCAGCTTCTCCTTCATCCTTCCTCTTCCTCTCCCCCCCCCCCAGTATTTGGGGCAGCTGGATAACCTCCGCCCCCATGGCCAGGCAGGCCCAGGAGGAGCCCAGCGAGGCGGCAGGGCCAAGAGATGGCATTTCCCGCCCTTTTCTGAAATAGGAGGGAACGCCATTTTGTTTTTCCCGGTGCCCCAGCTGCTCCCAGAGATGCCATCGGGGGTCTCTGGGCCTCGGGGGTCCCACGCTCTCGGGCCATAGCCATGGCCAGAGGAAGACCCCCCCCCTGAATCCCCTGCAAGGCCCCGGGGAGCAATCAGAGCCTGCCTCAGTTTCCTTCCCCAAGGCCTTGGAGGAACCTTGGGGTGCAGAAGGAGGAACCCCAAATGGAGCTCAGACTCCTGGCAAGTAGGGAAAGGAACATGAAATGGCGCTTTCCAGGTGAGTCTCAATACAACACGATAACCTTTATGGTCATTGTCCCATACAGAACAACAAAATTGAAAAAATGTACATCAGACATTCAGAAACCAACAAGCCTGCTATCCCAGCTATCCCAACCTTGTTAGCGCCCTAAAAACTCTGATACTCCATAATTAAATACAATATACTCCCATAGAGACTACCTTACACTGCATTTAAAACCAAAATCGCATTTGGATAGAAACTTTCTCAGGCGGCTAGTCCTAGACTTTATAACCCTGTACCTTCTTCCAGAAGGCAGAAGCTGAAAGAGATCATTTCCGGGGTGCGCACTATCCTGCACTATCTCTGCAGCTTTCTTATGTAGCACCTTCTGCAAATGCCTGCAGGGCCATGAGTAGTATGCATGAAAACATCAATGCTAAATTGAGCAGAGGCAGCCAGTGTGGTGTAGTGGTTAAGAGCGGTAGTCTCGTAATCTGGGGAACCGGGTTCGCGTCTCCGCTCCTCCACCTGCAGCTGCTGGGTGACCTTGGGCCAGTCATACTTCTCTGAAGTCTCTCAGCCCCACTCACCTCACAGAGTGTTTCTTGTGGGGGAGGAAGGGAAAGGAGAATGTTAGCCGCTTTGAGACTCCTGAAGGGGAGTGAAAGGCGCGATATCAAATCAATCCAATCCAGTGCGGATTATTGCAGGGGACTTCACTCACACAGATGTGAGGGCAGCACTCCCAAAATTCTATCAGCCACATTGAGTGTGCAGTAAGGGGAGAAAATACTCTTGACAAGGTGTATACGAACATTAGACGGGAATATGAGGCGCACCTCGGTGGTTCAGATCATGTGTCCCTGCTTCTGACACCAGTGTCCACACCCCTCAGGAAACAAGGCCAGCTACAAACACGGATGGTTACGGTGTGGCCTGAGGGAGCCTCTCAGCAGTTGCAGGACTGTTTCCAGGAGACCGATTGGAATATGTTCCACCATCAAGATCTAGAAACTTCTTCATCAACGGTCTTAGATTCAGCACAGGAAATGCACCAGGGAAAGGTATGTTAAGTTGTATCCGAACAGGAAGCCCTGGATGATGGGAGAGGTTAGGAGATTCTTGAAGGCCAGAAACTCTGCTTTTAGAACTGGGGACCGGGTACCGTATGATATAGAAGGAGCGAACTTGAAGAGGGGTATCAGGAAAGCAAAAGCGGAGTACAGAGGAAAAATTGAGGACCATCTGAGAAATGATACTAGACAAATGTGGCAGGGAGTTCAACATCTGACTGGTTATAAATCGAGAAATACATCAGTGGTAGAGAGCACGGCTTCCTTGGTGGGAGAGTTGAAGACCTTCTTTGCCCGATTTGAGGTGACACCAACAGTGGCTCCAACAGGGATGGCAGAGCTATTGGCCTCACTACCTGCAGGAAATGCTGTCAGGGTGGAAGAGGGAGAAGTGAGGCGAATATGAAAGGAGGCAAACACGAGGAAGGCTATGGGCCTGGATGGGGGGCTGGCAGGGTGCTAAGAGATTGTTTGGACCAACTGGCAGGAATCTTTATGAAGATTTTTAACCAGTCTCTGGCCCAAGCCGCCGTTCCACCCTGTCTAAAATCCGGTACCGTTATACCCCTGCCAAAAAAACCAAAGATAGACAGTCTGAATGATTTTCGCCCTGTGATGTTGACACCCATTATAATGAAATGTTTCAAAAAACTGGCAAGGAACCGTATCATATCTTGTCTGCCAGTAGGACTTGATCCTTACCAGTTTGTGTACAAGGCAAAGGGATCCACGGAGGATGCTGTGGCTTTACATGGTGTCCTAACTCATTTGGAGAAGAAAGGGAACTATGCGAGATTGTTATTTGTACTTCTGCATTTAATACTATTCTTCCGCATAGATTGGTGCCCTAACTATTAGACCTGGGACTTCCACCGTGTTTGTGCAGGTGGATATTAGATTTTCTATCAAACCGTTCCCAACGGGTCAGGATGGATTCCCACGTCTCTGCGGATCTCATGAATATGGGGGTGCCACAGGGGTAAGTGTTGAGCCCACTTTTATATACGCTCTATACAGCTCACTGTGCCCCCAAATACCCCAGTAATAAGATCATTAAGTTTGCAGATGATACAACGGTGGTTGTTTTAAATCACGGCTGGAGAGTGGGAGGCGGCCTATAGGAAGGATGTTGAGCAGTTGGGGGAGGGGTGCAGGAAAAACAACTTCCTCCTTAGCTGAAAGAAAAAAGAGATTCTTGTGGACTTTAGGAAATGTACAGCACTTGGAATCGCCTCCACGGTCCAGGGACTGATCTGCCCTGGCTTCCTCCTCGGAGGTCCCTTCAGAAGGAGAAGGGGTCCCAGGTCTCCATGGGGGAAAGCGTTCCTGAGGCCTGCGTTCGAGGCCAATGCTTTCGCCTCTCAGGCTCCAGCCCACCTTCTCTCTGGTGTTTTTGTCAGCTGTAGAGATGGGATCACATGCAGACATTCCCAAGTTTAATAAGGATCCCTTGAAAAGGCTGAGAAACCTTCTTCTTTGGCCAATGAACTTTGCCTCTGCGTGATTTATTGGGAACCAGATGCATCCGCTCCAAAGAAGCTTCTGCAGCGCCTTGGCATTGAAGACCCAGAAAAAGAGACGGAGGGGAATGTGTGGGTCACAAGGTGGGAGTCGTTGGAAAGGAGTCGCTGGGAGAGGCAGAAGGTTGTGTTGAGCAGGCGAGGGAAGAGCAGGAGGAGAGAGAAAGAGCCCCAGGGAAAGAGGAGGTTGGGCTGAGCTGGTGTGCAAAGCAACTCCGGAAACGGTGAACAAGGCAAGCTATGATCTCGTTTGAGGAAAGGGAATTAAGATGCCTGCTTCCCCATCCCCAGTGGATTAAAATGTCCAAAGATTAGGGAAAGAAGAATGAAGAGGAAGCAGGATTGGATGAACATCATAAGAGTCCATAATTTTCCATTGTGACTTGGCTGAGATTCATTGGAATAGTTTTTCAAAGGCTTTATAGAAACTGGACCTAGAAACTGGAGAAATACCAATTTGGATTATTAGACTGTCTGAGTTGATTAAGATTTGAAAGCTGGGCTAGGGAGGGAAATGAAGGGAATGTGTCATCTTGGTGAAGAGGAGAAGAAGAGTTTGGATTTGATATCCCGCTTTATCACTACCCGAAGGAATCTCAAAGCGGCTCACATTCTCCTTTCCCTTCCTCCCCCACAACAAACACTCTGTGAGGTGAGTGGGGCTGAGAGACTTCAGAGAAGTGTGACTGGCCCAAGGTCACCCAGCAGCTGCATGTGGAGGAGCGGAGACGCGAACCCGGTTCCCCACATTACGCATCTATCGCTCTTAAGCACTACACCACTGTATACTAAATGCAGCTGGGTTTATTCTGGAGTGCAAATTATGAATAATTGTTGCTACAGATGATTTTCAGATGAAGATGGGAGTTTTCTTTTCGGTGCCTGCCCTGTGGAACACCCTCCCAGCAGATATCAAAGGAAAAAATAACTACCAGACTTTTAGAAGACATCTGAAGGCAGCCCTGTTTAGGGAAGCTTTTAATATTCGATGGATTACTGTATTTTAATATTTTGTTGGAAGCTGCCCAGAGTGACTGAGGAAGCCCAGCCAGATGGGAAGGGTATAATCTATTTTTTTTGTATTTTTAATATTTTATATTAAGATTCCTTTATTTTGAATTTAGGAGGACACACCTAGGAAGAGGACACTTGAAGGTGGGCGGGACCTGCAAGGAACGCAGGGAAGGAAGGATCTCTCAGGGTGGGATACGGGGAGAAGGGGGGTCAGCGAGGAGAAGTGGGGGAGCCTGCCTTTCTGTGGGCTGACGAATGATATGATATATATGATACAAATGTCATAAACAGTATTTTTGTTTATATCCCCCCCTTTCTCTTTTCTATACAATTGTATTTTGTAAGGGTTGTTTAATATTTTTTGTTCTATTTCTCTTTTTTGCTTTCCCCTCTGTATGAATTCTTTGATGGCGAGTGAGATGGGAGCTCTTTCTGAAGCTCTTTCCACATTTCAAGCACTGATAGGGTTTCTCCCCTGTATGTATTCTATGATGGCAAGTGAGATGGGAACTATTAGTGAAGCTCTTTCCACATTCCAAGCACTGATAGGGTTTCTCCCCGGTATGAATTCTGCGATGGGAAGTGAGATGGGAGCTATGAGTGAAGCTCTTCCCACATTCCAAGCACTGATAGGGTTTCTCCCCTGTATGAATTCTGCGATGGGAAGTGAGATGGACCCTCTGACTGAAGTTCTTTCCACATTCCAAGCAGTGATACGGTTTATGCCCTCTATGAACTCTTTGATGGGAAATGAGAGTGACCTTCCAGCTGAAGCTTTTCCCACATTCGAAGCACTGATAGGGTTTCTCCCCTGTATGAATTATTTGATGGGAAGTGAGATTCCCCTTCTTACTGAAGCTCTTTCCACATTCCAAACACTGATAGGGTTTCTCCCCTGTATGAATTCTTTGATGGGAAGTGAGAGTCCCCTTCTGACTGAAGCTTTTTCCACATTCCAAGCAGTGATACGGTTTCTGCTTCTGCCCTGTATGAACTCTTTGATGGGAAGTGAGATGTGCACTTCGACTAAAGCGCTTTCCACATTCCAAGCACTGATAGGGTTTCTCCCCTGTATGAGTTCTTTGATGCAAAGTGAGTTTGGCCCCCACCCTGAAGCTCTTCCCACATTCGAAGCACTGAAAGGGTTTTTCTCCTGTATGAGTTTTTTGATGGGAAGTGAGACTGTGCCTGAGACTAAAGCTCTTCCCACATTCCAGGCACTGATAGGGTTTCTCCCCTGTATGAATTCTGCGATGGGAAGTGAGATGGGAGCTATGAGTGAAGCTCTTTCCACATTCCAAGCACTGATAGGGTTTCTCCCCTGTATGAATTCTGTGATGGGAAGTGAGATGTGCACGTTGACTAAAGCGCTTTCCACATTCCAAGCACTGATAGGGTTTCTCCCCTGTATGAGTTCTTTGATGCAAAGTGAGCTTGGCCCCCTCCCCGAAGCTCTTCCCGCATTCCAAGCACTGATAGGGTTTTTCTCCTGTATGAGTTCTTTGATGCAAAGTGAGCTTGGCCCCCTCCCCGAAGCTCTTCCCACATTCCAAGCACTGATAGGGTTTCTCCCCTGTATGAATTCTTCGATGGGAAGTGAGTTGTGCACTTTGACTAAAGCTCTTTCCACATTCCAAGCACTGATAGGGTTTCTCCCCTGTATGAATTCTGTGATGGGAAATGAGATGGGAGCTATCAGTGTAACTCTTTCCACATTCCAAGCACTGATAGGGTTTCTCCCCTGTATGAGTTCTTTGATGCAAAGTGAAAGTAGTACTGTACCTGAAGCTCTTTCCACATTCCAAGCACTGATAGGGTTTCTCCCCGGTATGAATTCTTTGGTGCAAAGTGAGAGTATTACTGTGTCTGAAGCTCTTTCCACATTCCAAGCACTGATAGGGTTTCTCCCCTGTATGAATTCTTTGGTGGAAAGTGAGATTCCGACGGTTACTGAAGCTCTTCCCACATTCCAAGCACTGATAGGGTTTCTCCCTGCTCTGTCCTCTTTTGTGTGCAGTTAGGCTATCCCTCTGAACGAAGCTCTTTCTTTGACGGGAGGTGGAATGGGAGTTCTGACGGATGTTCTCTCCACACTCTGAATATTTATATGACTTCTCCACTATGTGGATTCTCTTGTGGTCCCCCTTTTTGTTCCCTTCCAATTCATCACCATCTGCAATGAAGAGAGAAGCGAATTAGAGCCTCAGGAGGAAATGGAGCTCCAGATCATTGAACCAAGTTAATGAATGCTTGTGATAGAGGAAGAACTAAAAATAGTTAGATGTGGGGCCTCTCTATAGTTTTCACTGCCTTGGTTGGCTGGTATTTACTGACATATTGCTTGGCTTTTATCTGGAATGGATTTTGTTCTGGCTCAATCTTGGAATCCACTCCATATCCAAGGTCAGTCATCTCTTTGGTCAATCAAATGCAAACAGAAGCAAAAACAGAATTTACATCAACTTCTCTAAAAACTCTGAAGCCGGCATTTAAGAAGGCCTGGGTGGTTCAGAGAAGCCTGGTCACTGTTTTAAAAGGCACGACTAGACGCAGAACATTCACAGAGGAAACAGTTGATATCCCTCCATTCTGGGTTCACGGTGGGGGATATTAGAATCCCAGATGCTCTTGGTCTCCAGCCAAAGAGTTGAAGTTCATCACATGCAGGTATGTATGGAACGTCCACGTCTCGTCTGTGAAACAAACAGCAACATCTTCACCTGAACACTCCCCATCAGCTGTTGCCTCAATCTGGTTGGTTTTAAATAAAATTTATACGTAAATCGCTTTCTTCACTTTGAACTCCCCTCCCATGTACATGAGGAGACTGTATTTTTTCATTAGCAACAGAAGAGGAAACGTGACTATAAGTCAGTTCAAGCCAATTCATGCACCCAGAACTCATACACCAACCACTAATGATGAACCATGTTATAGATATTCCTGCCAATTTATTCTGCTATTTTTGATATGCAAATGGCATGCGAAGACTTAGTCTACATATTTGTATCATTTATTAGTCCTATGATCCTTGTTTTTAAAAGCAGATAAGAAGTTATTCCAAAAAGAAAAAGACAACACACAGAGGCCCCATCTGCATTCAAACTGCAAATCAGGATCAGTGAGTTTTCTGACATTGGCAGGGCATTCAGATCACAGAACTGGTTTTAGATCTTTTGAGCTGCCAATACATCACGGTGACTGGGGAGCTGTGACCTATTCCTGGCTCAAATTGCCTGCAGATGACAAAGGTGCAGGCAGGCAGGTGGGGGAGCCCGAAAAGGTGCTCCCCTTCTCCATCTCCATCCGCCTGCCTGCCTCCCCCCACCCCAAGCTGAGCAAGCTCCAATTTCTCTCCGGCTCCATCCCTCCAGGTCCCCATCTTCACTCCCCTGGAACTCACCAGATCTCTTGGAGGTCCCTGGGAGGGAATGCTCAGAGGTTGAGAGGAGGGATGCAGGAGACAACCTGACCAGGTCAACCGTCCATCTTCCCCCTTCCATCCTTGCTAGCTTTGCAGGATCCGTCTCTTTCATCCTTCCTGAAGAGTCAAGGAGCCAAAACGAGCTGCAGGGTCCTGGGAGAGAGGAAGAAGTAAAGGGAGCCTCAGAGGCCCTGCAGGGATTCTCCTGCCCTAGATATTCTCCTGCCCCTGGAGAAGCCCAAATGGGGCAGCCCCTTCCCAACAGAAGCCCCATTTCTATACCTCTCGAGTGGTTCCAATAAATCAGGTAGGCTACTTGTGTGGCAATTAAAGACAAAACAAAAGGAGAGAGTAATAGAAAAATGAAAAATAATTGAAGATCCTAAAGAAATATGCAAAGAAAAATTAAATTACTATAGGAAATTTCACAATGAAGAAGAAGACCAAGAGGAAATGGAATGATTCATAGCACAAAATAGACTCCTGACAATAGCAGATTGGAAAATAGAACAACTAAATGTACCAACAGCGATGATGGAGGTGCAGCAACCTCAAAAGCAAATATAGGAAAGTCCCCAGGTACGGATGGATTATCCCAGGTACGGATGCATTTTATAAGAAGTTAGAAGATATATTATCAGAACCAATGAAACATTACTGGACCAAATTTTAAAGGAAGGAAGAATACCAAAATCATGGGAAGAAGCACTTATCACACTGAGACCCAAACAAGGAGCAGATCCAACACTAATCAAAAATTATAGACCTATATCATTGTTCAATAATTATTATAAAATATTTGCCAACATCCTAGCCAACAGATTAAAATAAAGTATTGAATGAAATAAAAAACAGAGATCAGGCTGGCTCCTTCCAGGCAGACACATGCACAATAAAATGAGAAACATAATTGATATTTTAGAATATTTAGAAGCACAATCAGATAAAAAAGCCATTTTGATGCTGATAGACACGGAATAGGTCTTCGACAACATCTCTTGGAGCTCCATGAAAAAAACTACAGAAAAAACAGGACTCAGAGAAAATATTATTAGGGGTGTTGAGGCAATATTGAAATCAGAGAGCCAAATTGATGCTAAATAGTGAAATAAGAGAAAAATATAAAGTAAATAAGGGGAACAGGCAAGGCTGCCTCCTTTCGCCTCTACTTTTTATTACGGTACTAGAATTCTTAGCAATGACAACAAGGAGTGACCAGGGCATAAAAGGTCTAACAAGGGGGAAGAAGTCGCACAAGATGAAGGCCTTTGCAGACAATGTAATTCTAACTACTGAAAATCTGGAGGAAATAAGACTAGTATGCGAGAAAAAAATATGTCAACACAGGAAAAAGAAGAACTAAAGAAAATATTAGGATTGGAAATAGTAAATAAAACTACGTATTTCGGAATCTGGCTGACAAATGAAAACGCCAACCTATTTAAAAACAATTATATTAAAACCCTGACCAAACTGCGGGAGGCAGTGGAAGACAAGAGTGCCTGGCGTGCTCTGGTCCAGGGGGTCACAAAGAGTGGGACACGACTAAACGACTAAACAACAACATACTAAAACATGGAAAGAAATCAATTTTGAATCATATAATAAGAAAATTGATATATAGAGTATGGGAAAAACATAAAGTGGTGTTAGAACCTAAAACCCCCTGGTGGATTTCACCTCAAGAAGCAATAACTGGGGGAAAGAAAAATATGGAATTGAATTGGGCCACTTTCACTGCCTTGTTGTGACGAAGGGGCTTGAATAACTCAGAGACGCTATGAGCTAAGCTGTGCAGGGCCACCCAAAACGGACAGGTCATAGTGGAGAGTTTAGACCAAACCTGATCCACCTGGAGGAGGAACCGGCAAGCCACTCCAGTAGCCCTGCCAAGAAAACTCCATGGACAAAGACAACAGGCATATAAAAGTGATGATGCTGGAAGATGAGCCCCTCGGGTCAGAAGGCGTCTGTCAGGGGTTCAGGAGCAGAGGCGAGGGCAAGGGAGGAAACAGAGAGCGAGGGGGAGGAGTCCGAAGAAAAGATGAGTGATGACGACGACCCGAGATCTCCGAGTCTGTCCAGTGAATCAGAAGATTCACAGAAAGGAGCGCCAGTGGCCAGAGCAAGGGGGGAGCCTAGGGGGACACCCCAGGAAGAAGGGTCCAGAGGGGATTCAGAGGGCAGCAGTTGGAAATCGGGGCCAGCGTCCCCAACAGAGCGCAGTGGAGAGGAAGGGCGCCAGGTATCGAGCTCCGGCGGCTCGCCGCAGGGGGGAGGGCATGAGTCAGGAGTGGCCACAGCTCCATCAGGGAGCGAAGAAACGGTCAAGCGGAAAGTGGAAGGTTGGGCGCGCGCGCCAAGTTCAAATGCACAGGAAGGCGGCGCAGTAAGCAGCCCGGAAAGGGAGCCAGGTCCTAAAGCCCGACGCAAGGAGACAGAAGGGTCCGGGGGGTCAGCGTCAGAAGAGTCCAGGAAGGAAGAGACCACGGGGGGCAGAGGGACCCAGAGAAGAACAGTCAGGCGGAAAAGGTGGAGTAAGGCTAGGGTATTAAGTTGGTGTACAAGGGGCGGAGACTCAGACGGAGCTTCGCCGGTCTAGCTTATAAGACGTAGGGCTGCACGCGGCAGCTTGGAAATGGAAACTGTAACTCAATAAAGACTTTTATTATGTGAACGCTGGCTAGCGTGATCCTCTGGGAGCTAGGATCTGGGAGCAGCTCTGACAGTAAGCTCCGTCTCATCAGTTTTGGCACCTAAAGCCTCGCGGAAAGGGCGAAGACTGGTGCCTACTCGCGAGCTCACGAACGGCAGACAAGATGACGGCCGAACAACAGATAGCAGATCTCAAAGAAGCAGTGACACAACTGAATGCCGAGATACTTGCATCCAGGAAGAGAGAGGGGGAAGCAGCTGCCGCCTACAGGGATCTCCAGATCAGGTTGGAAATGCTTACGAAGCAAGGGCAACTGGCACCCAAACCGGAGGGGATTGGGTTGGGGAGAAGAGCAGGCGGTCTAGTATCTCACTTCGA